TGTCACTCGTATTCAATGAACTTGAAAATCCACTTGAAGCAGATGATGATCCACCAACAACCACTTTTCTAAAGAAAGGAAAAATTTCAACTATAGATGTATCATAGTCAAGAACATAGATATACAAAGCAACAATAGTGGCCTCTCTGAACTCTGATCCTCATCTGTCACATGATAGACTCAAAAGGGTGTACCAGCATCAGGAATACTCTACCATAACTTCAAAGTACTTGTAAATGCATGTGACTTCATCAACATATTTGATGACCACTGATTCTTGGATAATGAAGCAGATGGTGGCAATACATTCTTGATCAGATAACTAGGGTTATCAGCAAAGGGAAAGATTTGCACAAACCTACTGCATACAAAAATCTAAACTCTACAGAAATGATTGTATTTGTCTGCTCTTATAATCATGTTACCAGTGATGACACAAGTTATTGTTTTTACAAGAAACAAGTTGAAACCATTTCCATAAAGTTTTCAAATATCCCGACTCATGTCAACTTAACAGTGGCCCCTCAATCAGACCTCTTAAGGAAACTGTAGAACTAAAAGCTGCAGTAAATAAATTGCAGCATAAATCAACTGACAAAACACAAAAAAAGGAAGAAAGACAAAAAAAAGCAACTGATGATGGCAGAATAGTGATAGTTGTAGCTCCAAAAGCAAATGAAACATCACACAGAACGTCACATGTAAGAACCCAAATTCTCAATGAGTATTTATAATGTAATAAAATTGTACATATTGTGTGAATGACGCAGAATACTTGTCAACCACATGACGTAGCTGCTGTCAGATGAATTTCTAATTGTTAGTCTCATCTTGTTTAAAATGTGACAATCATCCTTTCCATAATGAATAGCTGAATTTTGATTTAATCTTCATATACATTTTTGTATTAAGTTTTCTTGTACATATATAATTATCTAGTATTATACTAACCCAGAGTAATTAGATTTTAAACCCTATAATTTATTTTATAAATACATGTTAAGAATGTACCTACGATTAAGTTATACAAAACAGAATGCCAAAACATCACAGAGTGCTCTAAACAGAATGGTTACACCTCCTCCTTCATCAAAATCTCCCTGAAGAAAGCCACAACAGAAAGAAAGGATAAGAAAAATACTAAAACTACTACCATTTACCTCCACTACCTGTAAAATTCAACACAGACATCCAGTAGAAATCCTTCAAGAAATTAAGATCCATTATAGTGAAAAACAAATAGAAACCTACCAATGACAAACATAAAAACATCATTCATGAAATTGTGTTCCTGCAATGAAACATACATTGGAGAAATGGGAAGAAGACTTGCAACAAGAATAAAAAACATAAAGACGGAACAAGACTCATGAAAACACAAAATTCAGCCATTGCAGAACACATCATGTCAACTGGACACAAAATAAACTGGAAAAAAACTAGAATCATCGACACAGACAAATTTTTGAAGCCAAGAAAAATTAACGAATCCTTTTACATTAACATAATAACACCATCACTAAAAAGAGATTCTGGATTAGAAGTGAATAACCTGTGGCTACCATTGGTTGAATCTACAGGAAGTCTCTCCACCCATCAGATACAGGGATAAACCAACCAATCTTAACATACTCTCCATAATCCACCATAATACTATAAAGATGGACAACACCATACACACATTGACCTGAAGAAAGGTGGAAGACTTTTGAAACGTCATCCCCTACTGTCCATTCAACTACATTTCATCATAAGTAACTGCCTAAACAATCTCTCAAAGAAGCTATATGAAATTATGCATCAGCATGAATGTAATGTAGATCTATTACATGCTTTCAATTGTACTTGCAAACACTAAATGATAAATTATGTATTTGTATTTTTCTTATAAAATTTCATTAATCAGAAATGTACAATAATTTTGCAGTTATGTATAAACTACATTTTCAACACCCATTGATTCATGTAAACATTCAATAACCAGCCATTTAAAGATATCTTCATGCATTGACCCTGAAATTAAGAATATGGATCATACCCTTCCAAAAATGTGTCTAATAACCCACCCCAGGACTTACTAAATTGGAAGTTATAATACGTGTAGTTTCATGGTGATTACAAAGTTAGTCAAAATGACCAAGCCCATATGCATGGGGCTAAAGAGATGATTAAAATAAATACACAAATGTTTATAAAATACTTATACTGTTAACCTGATCATTTCTTTGTTCACAGATTGTATGACAGTTCTTTTCTGCTGTAATTTTTTCATAGAGAGTTAGCCAGTTTTTGTTTTTTATATTCAGTGTTAAAGAAAATTCTGTTACATATGTCCTATAGTTAAATTTTTACATAATGTATTGTTGATGTTCAAAAGTTACAGTTATATAGTGTATAGTTTTCCACTTATATATGTTCATTCCTTATTTTTGTCTACTAGCCTTCTTTAATCTTCTTTACTTTTTCTTAACTACAGGCTTGGACGAATTGACTGACCACTTTGTACTAATTTAAAGTCATTATAGTTTTGATACTACTAACTTTTAACACGGTATGTCTATCTTCAACAAAATCTGACAGACTTTCAGTAAATATTATAAGTCTTCACATACAAAAAATAAGATTCTTTAGTGACGTATTTTAATAAACTGAAAAAGGTTTGTCCATGAATATACTGAGTCTTTTTTTAATAGTCCATGTGCCAAGCGACTTTCATGTTACGATTAAAAATACTTTTCTTCATCTCAAAAATCTCAAATTTCATTTATGTAATCTCTAAAACTTCCTAAATATATTTCAAACATTTGTTTTCAGTAAAACGTTTTATTTTATGTTATTTTCTCTACCCTAACTCTATACAAGGTTGATCAATTTGACTGACCTTTTAACCACCAAAGGAAAAAAAGAATTGAAATAAAATCCAAACTCATTTAAACTTGTAACAGTATACATCTATCTATACTTAAATATTATTGTTTTATTGCCCTTTAAGCTGTGTCTAACTACTATTTGAATCAATATAAGCTATCGAATTATGTTACCCACGAGCTGCTCGCATTTATTTTACCAAATGTAATCTTAACTAACCTAAAGAGATCCCTAATTTTACATTTTATTTTACTTTTATAATAATAAATAAATAAATATGAAAAACAAGAAATAAAGTAATTACCCAAGTCTTCTTTTTTTGCTCTTGACTGTTGATGACACTTAACCCTACTTTTTTTTTTTATATATAATAATGGTAGTAATGCACAAAATAATTTTTAAAATTAAATGATGCACCAAAGAACATAGAATAATAACATGCAAAAAGCAGACAATGTCCCATAAGTATCACAATATTTCTGGCTTTCTAACTATGCAACAAGAGCCGTTACAAATTTATCCATGCTAGTCAATATCTTTCCCATGGGAATGAAACTTGTACCAGAAGAGAAATTGACAATTCTCCGTTAAAAAAAAAAGTTATATAATATATAACTTGATAGATGAAAACCTTGGCTTTCTATTAATTATAAATAATATAATATTAAATGTAAGAGAGAACTATTAACAAATCCTGGAAGAGAGGATGTGACAAGAGGGGTTTGATTTTCTATTTGATGGCTCTGTAACCAAACAAAATTGAAGGCTATAAAAATTATGTTCTGTCTGAGTGATGATGATTTGATAATGAGTAATTTATGTTAAATTTCATACTTACTGGAGGGGTGGTGAATAAATTACAAAAGAGTGGATGCCTAAAGAAAGAATGTCACATTTCTCATATTATGGAAAATTCAGAATTGTTTAAAATATTGCCTCATAAAATCAACTTAAAAAATATATGCTATTAAAATATGGATTATTAGCTATGATTTTATGCTATACTAATTGGTATAACATAAACAAAAAAATTGTTTAATTAAATTTTTAATGTAAGTCACTAAAAACCTCATGACATGCACTGTAAAGGATCCCCATTGCAAGAGGGTTAAGTAATTTTCAGTGAAACTTTACCAATTCTCTCTCACCTTTACCTACCATTTCCCTATTAGCAAATCCAAAATAATGGTTAGGGATACACAATATTTACTATTATTTGGTTTAAGAAACAAAATGCAATGCCTTTTTACTTAAGAATTCTAGCATGTAAGATAAGGGTATTCATAGCAAAATGGGCTAACTTGACTTTAGTTTTAGGACTTTAGGTGTGTTTTTTTTTTCTTTTGAGCATACCAATTAGAAGTTCTTAAGTTAAGGATGATTTCCTTTGGAAAGAAACAGAAATTATATGATGCAGTGGTTTTCTGGGTTAAATAAAACAGAGAACGAATTTCTGGATATTAATTAGCTTTTCTCCCCCATGGTAACAAAAAAAAAGTACTGCTTTTGAGGCTGTGTATAACTCACTTGTAAATCATCAGAATCACAATAATCACATACATTATTTGAATTTTTCCAAGAAATGTGATGTCCAGTTTTGAACAAGTATTCATAAATCATATATAACCTACACTGAAATCATGTTAATGAGCTTTTCTGTGATGGCAATCACTTTTATTAACAATTTTCACTGTAATAGTTTTACATATGCAATTCTGGGAAACATTCTGAAGTAATGTGGTTATGTCTGTCTGTCTCACAGTACTATTTTGCATTGTGAACATTAATGATTATAAAAATTAATAAACAATATCATATAATAAACATTTTACAAAGTAAAGAATTTATTACAACTGAGCTATGGCATACTCAATGAATTCTAGAAAATGAACTTACACAAGTCAAGGTATATTGAGAAGTGTGTGATGATAATTGTTTACCATTTGGTTATTCTCAAAACTGGAACAGAATGAAAGTTAGAGTAAATATTGGGATCATATAACCATTAAATATGCACAAACTTCAGCATTAGTGAATATATTGAGTAATGTAACAGATCTACTTAGAGGTTGCAGCACTCCAAACACTGGAACTTAAAACGTTACTAACCAGTAAGGAATCCAAAGAAAATGTGAAGCTCCACAAGTTTATTAAATGAAAATGGTACAAAAGCTGGTGAAGATGTTTGTGCTGGTGGTAAAGGCTCTCACTCCATTTCAAACCTGACACTTCATACTTTAAAGGGTAATAAATGTATAGTGTTGATTTATATATGGCAGTGGCAAATGAATATGAAGCTCCTACCATGAAAATGAAGCCAGGGTTACCTGACCATCAGCTACAAAATATCTTACTTATAATGTGAAAGAAATGACCAGTTTTTTCTTTTGTTTATCCATTAAACAACTGTAAAGATTTACACTCACATCCATAATTTAACTTGAAGAAAAATTATAAACCATTCTGGAACCTTTTTACAGTGTCTTCTGTAAATGTCTAAGCTAAGTAGCTTTCTTGTTCACATTGCCAATGTTAATTGTGTGATTATATCTTTGATGATGGATATCTAGCATTACTTTTACAATAAACATGCCCCCCAAAGTTTTTATATAATATTTAAAAGATCGTACATATTATTTTTAATTTTACACTAACACTAACAAATGCACTAACAAGAAAAATATGTAAAGCTATGTTTTCTTCTTTCTAATGGTGCAAAGTTTAAAATGTGTTCATTTTCAAAGGAAAAAAGCCACTGTTATAAGATAAAAATTTAGGTCATTAATTGATCATTATTCTAAAAGTCAATCAGTGGTTCACTTTTGTACACGTGAAAAATATCAGACTGAAGTGAGAGCACATTAAATATACAATACACAACAGAACACAAGTTTTGAAAGTAATGACTGGTAATGAAGTTTATGATATATGGATTAACTCAAAAAACACAGTTTTACCTGTCTGAATACATAAAATTTACTATCTGCACAATTAGAAATTTCTGGAACTTTCATATGGAGACATCACCATCTGAAGACAAATTTCAACCATGTCATCAGCAACCAACTCCATCCTGTAAAAAACACAACAACACAAACCAATTTCACACACTGTTACCCATCATGCCCATCAGCTTGAAAGGAAAAAAAAAATGTTGTAAAAGACACCTTTAATCAACCTTATACTTACATGCAGTACTTACCTTCACTTACCTTTGTGTTAAGTCCAACTCAGACTGGCTTTTTTTCTGCCAGAACGCGAGCCCGCCTAGATGCAGCACCTAGCTACTGAGCTGAAGAACGTTTCATGATCATCTGTAGCATTCAGTGGGGAGAATAAAGAGTTGTGAACGAACAAACTAGACCTTTTGGACTGGAAGCTGATTTTTGGGAAAATGAAACATGGTATCAGAGCTAGGGAGCTATGAATGAGGGATGCACTTCTAATAATTTTATAAAACACAGCAGTATATTGAATCAACGAATTGTGAATTAAAGAAATTCTAATCAGAATGTATGCACCAAGGCACTCGTTAAATCACGGCTAAGGTCAAATAATCTATAACATAAATTACAAATACAAATCACTCGTACATAAAAAATTTTAAATTTAGGGGTACACTTCTGGAGTTTAGAATCTTCCATCCAAAGCTTGATATATCTTGCCTGAAATTTGTCTGGGTAAACTCATACAGCTTAGTGTCACTGACTGAGAAAGTTTTATACACAAAACAGTTTAAAACTGATTTATAAAACTGAATGAGTAATTTTGAATATATATAAGTTAATAATTCCTTACATGCATGTTTCACTATTATCTCTCTCTGGCTTGTTAATCAGCAAATATTGTAGTACACTGGAAAAATGCTATTTCTCAAATGCAGAAAACTTTAACACAGCCTACACTCATCACTATCTTCAACTGAGAATATGATGACACTTCAGGCTACAGATGATCACTATGCAGTAGTCAAGAGATTTGGTAATCATACCTTATGCTGATATCAACATCTTATTCATAAACAATTAGACAGTTACATGAATACATTGAATAAATTTCCTAAAAACATTACAGTTACTTTGAAGATTATGGTTAAAAACAGAATATAGATTAAATTAACAAGTTCTTTTTTTTTTTACACATACTTAATTGTAGAAATGTCTGTGACTTGTTGAAATCATAATTTCTGAAGTGACCCATGATATGTATAATAATCTGGTATAAAATGAAAATTATATATATACCTGTAAGGTTAACGTTTTACAATGAAAGAAAATAAATGTATGGGCCTTCTGTATTATTAAGTTGTTAAGAAAACAAAACTAAAAGAAAACAAACTACAGGTTACTTTATTAATGATGTAATCAGCCTTAAAAATATACACTCCATTCTTCATACTTTTTACAAAGTTATTGCTGACTGTATCCATAGCCTTGATACTGGTTAGGTTGCTGATTGTAAGGAGCCTGTTGTGAATATTGCCACTGTTGTTCAGTGGATGGAGTTGTTACACCAGTAGGATGGTTCTGAGAAGCCTGTGTTGCAGGTACTTGTCCTTGACCTTGATGTGTAGCTGCTGTTGGTTGAGGCTGCTGGCCATACTGCTCAGAAGTTTCTTGTCCATACTGCTGGATAACCTAGAAATTAGAAGCCACTATTTTATTCATTTGTGCATTAAAACTAAAATCAAGCAATGAGACATCAGGACTCTCAATGGCTCACAAATTATGTGAGTGAAAATGTAGTTGACAATTTGATCATTATAATCATAACGTATAATAACCAACTTCAAAGATCTTTTTCAGGTTATTGTTGTGGCAAGTTCCCATTGATTTGACGATGCTCGGCTAGGTCTGCTTTACATTGAAGATAAATTTGCATCACCGAATTAAAAAATTATAGAAATAAACATGTAATAGGGTTTCACACTTTTTTAACATACATAACAGCTAAAAATTATTCAATAGAAAATTTGTCTTTTTGTAATATTATGTGTAAAACAATATCTAAAAGTTTATTTTGGGTTACTTTCAGCATACTTCAAACAAAAACATTTGTGTTTGTGAATTTCCTGAATATTCTCTGATAATATTAGACACTCACATCCCTCTAGGAGGAAAGCAAAAACAGTTTTGAGCAAATCTGCTCCAATTTGAGCATTGTAAGTTCAATACAAGTCTAATTTTACTGATGTTAGCCAATCACCATTTCTTAACCTTGGTTGTCATAGTGTGGTGTAAATCCCAAATTTCAGTTTTGAGAAGAAATAGGCTAGAGATCTAAAAATTAAAAAAAAATTATTTTTCTCTTCTCTTAAACTGTAAAAGCCAATATTGGCTTTCTTGTAATTTTGGTATGATATAAAAGTTATTTGTATTATACCCCAATGATCATAAGCACAATGAAATTGTGTGCTATGTTCTTAGAATAAAAAAAAAACATATTTTACAGTTTTGTAGAATAAAAAACTTTACTGTGAAACTTCAAAGACTTTATGAAAAGACAAAAATCAGTAACTGGCATCTGCAACAAAGGTAAGTGTTTTCGTGTCTTAAAAACATATCACAATGAAATATTTTTTGACTTTTCATAGCTGTAAATTCATATAGATAGCACATACAAAAATAAGATATTTTAGATGGCAGAAACTAAAAAACCTGTAAAGGTTCATCAAGTTTCAAAGAATTTCATCCAGTATTTTTTATTTGAAATGCAATAAAGTAAACCATACAATATGAGCATTGAATCAACACATCTGGGCATTAAAGAGCTAATAGAAGTGATAATCAGGCCAGTTTTTAAAATACAGCCCAAGAAAACATGAACAGATCAGTAGCACACAGAAATTGACCTTTAAGTCTCCATCGGTCATTTGCACAAAAAATATATTTTAGTGTTAGATTTATATGTTATGAGCAGTTTATAAAGAGATTCAAATACAAAAAGTCAATAGTAAAAAAAATAAGCTAACTGTTTACTTCAAAAAATAAAAAAATTGTCTTGTCACTTTGTTTAAATAATCATACGAACATTTTAAAAAATAGTATCATAACTTAATTTACAGGGTTATAAAACAAAATTCACATTTGCTGAGAACTCAAATCTGGATATTTTCTAGATAAACATCAAAATAAATTTCACTGCTGCCCTACACACATGCTTGAGTACTAACTGCCTCACCATGTTGTTAGTTGGTTATTTAGTTTATTTTGAATTTCCTGCAAAGCTACACGAGGGCTATCTGTGCTAGCCGTCCCTAATTTAGCAGTGTAAGACTAGAGGGAAGGCAGCTAGTCATCACCACCCACCGCCAACTCTTGGGCTACTCTTTTACCAACAAATAGAGGGATTGACCATCACATTATAATGCCCCCATAGCTGAAAGGGTGAGCATGTTTGGTGGGACGGAGATTCAAATCCCCGACCCTGCAGATTGCGAGTCGAGTGCCCTAACAACCTGGCCATGCCGGGCCCCATGTTATTAGAACCCATACCAACATATCCAATCTTGTTCCACCTGATGATTGTGTATCTTGACAGCAGCCCAGCTGCAGTTTCAGTTACAAAAGGATCCACTGTAAGGCTATCATGTCTAAAGCATAATACACTTCCCTGCTTGCTTTTCATAACCCACCGATTGCACAAACACAATAGCTTTCTAGAGCCAGTTTCAACAATCTGATCATATAAAGATACAAAGTTTTTGATTTCAGAAACTTCATCGGTAAGTCTTTGCATGGAATAGCATAAATACCCATTTTATTAGACAGCTGCTTATGGTATGCAACAGTTGAGAAGGAAGTATGACTGGAACACTTATCTTGGTGAGCCAATAACTGTTGGGCTTACATCCAGAAGGTGATCCAACTTGATTACGCTGTGCATACTGTTAATGGAGGCACGTGGATTACTTTTGCTATTGAACTTTGTGTTTGTGGATTCTCATTTGTACAAAATGCCACAGTGTGCTTACCAAGGATGAGGTGTGAACTGTTGCACTTCTCCTTCTAGATGGTCCTGGTTCCCAATGTTGATCCATATTCCTTTGTTTTATAATGAAATGGAACCCTCATTTTGGAAATTCTAAATCCCCTATCTGAGCATATTATTATGATTAAAGCGTATGAATATTTTGCACTGGAAATAGCTGTTACATACCATTCCCAAAAGCAATTAATATTTGGTAGCATCACACTACTTACAAAATGCTAAACAATGTCAAGTTTAAGTCATGATATATGACATCCCTCTGTAGTTTTATGTCAGTTGTGGATGTCACATAATTTGCCGATTTGTAAATTCAAAATGATTTTGATATTAACCCTGTATAAAACAGTACAACTTTATAATTTTACTTACCAGCTTTTCTTTAATACTGATATCATTCTGTCAAATTGTACAATGATGCAAGCTGACTAAATGTTAAGTATACAGTTTTTTTTACATTTGATGGAACTTTGAATTTGAGAAATATCAGAAAATCACATTCCTCAGTTATATGCAAGCCACAAATTTACTTAAGTTTAAAATATTAACACATCTTTAAATATGTATTCTAATAATATGTATAGTAGGCATTAATTCTATGATGTTTAACTGCAAAAAATTGTTTGTTTTGTTTTGTCTGCGCTATCCATTCCTAATTTTGGAAGTGAAAGACGAGAGGAAAAGCAGGTAGTCACTATTACCACCCATCCATTAATACATCTTCACACAATATGTAGAGATTGTGCTCACTGTCACATTTAACAGTAATAAACAAATATTTGCTTTGTTTGTTTATTGATTAAAGCTGCATGAGGCCTATCTGTGCTAACTGTCCCTAAATCTGAAGTGACAGACTTGGGGAAAATCATCTTGTCAACACTACCCCTCACCAACTCTTGGGCTACTCTTGTCAGTCCAAATAACAGGATTTGACTGTGTGTGTATTTTTTTATAGCAAAGCCACATCGGGTTATCTGCTGTGTCCACCTAGGAGAATCAAACCCCTGATTTTAGCATTGTAAATCTGTAGACTTAAAGGGGAAAGGATTTGACTGTCATTCTTACAAAACACCTATGGTTCTGAAATGCAAAACCTGTTGTTTTTTTCATGGTAACAGGAGATGAACCATGGAAACTTGGATCCCTTGTCTGGCAAATTTAATCAATCACTGGGTTATGCTTGGCCCGAAATGATTTGGAGCTTTATCGTTGAACACATCTCACAGTTAATGAGTACACAGTTTTCATGGCAGAATTCCTAGTAGCCATTCTGTACACTTGTTCTGGACAAGTGCTCTTGCATTTGTTCATTTTCTTCTTGCTAACACATTATATGAATCTAAGCTTATAATGTAAGATTTTCAGCAAAAATGAAGATAGTGTACTTAGATACTATTTCCAGTAATATTTTACTTTTAAGAGTTAAAAGCAATTACACATTTGACACTTTAAAAATGCATAAGTTATATTTTAGAGAAACAGAAATCCCTGTGAAACTCTCTCACTCTTTTTCTGAATACTTTACAAACATACAAATGTTTTATGGCAGAATTATCAAAGATGAAATTAAAAAACTATTTTTTCTTTATCTTGAAGGCTATACTTACTCATTCAGCCTTCAATAACAACAATCCATGCAAATCCAAAAAGTGCTTTGCTAAGACCAATGGCTTAGAGCAATCCTGCACACTTAGGAACACCGTCCATGGAATGACACGTAAACAGTGTTCAGAAATATGCATAGGTGAATCCAGTCATCCAATACATGACCATCTCAAAGAACACATTTGTGCCACTACAAATCTTGACTACAAAGAAGCCACCACTGAACATTACATCAAAGCACATGGCATAAGTAAGGAGACAGATCAAAATTGGAGAGATTGATGACAACTTTCTTGATAGAAAATTTAAAGAACCTCGTTTGATTCAATCCAAACGCCATTTGTATTCTTTTCAGTTACTATAACTTAAAATCAGTTTTGTAACCTGTAAAATCCTTAGAACCTTGAAAAAGACATAAGCCGAAACGTTAGGTAGAATAAACAAACATTTATCTCAAGTTGTTTGTCACCATCAGTGAAAATAATGGTTTGTTTTTTTTTCACAAAAAGAAGCAACTGTATGAAATAGTTTGAAAATTCAAAATAGATTTCTATATTTTTTGTTTTGATTTGAAAAACCCTACATACAGCTTCAAAACAAAAACTTTTTTTATCATATCAAAATTATAAGACAGCTCAATTTTTTATATTAGGTTTAATTTATTTGTAAAGTTTTAAACTCATTTTGATATTTATTTTTGGTGATTTTCTCTGCCCATTCAAGGAGTAAGTTAGGCCAAGAAAGCCTGATGTAAACAAGGTCTAACAAAGCAGCCTTATCAGAGAAAATAATACTTGATACAGTTGAGCCCAATATCATTTAACTAAGTCTACTTCATATTGTTTCACAAAAAAAAATTCTCCCATCATACTGGAACATTTAATTCAAATAAAGTATAAAATAATAAAGCAAGCTTTTTGCAAACTTGAAAAACAAATCAGGAATGCAAGTGTGGCATTTCATTTTCATGTATAATAATAAATAAAAGTTTTTTACAGGATAACTTTCAACTCTGAAATATATACTTTTTAATGTGTGAAAGAAT